TTATATACTCAGCTCTCTGCTTGGATGTTTACAGGAGTCTGATTCTTTTCACTTTTTTGTAAGGGAAATGGGAGGAAGAAGCAAATGTGAGAAACGTCCACAAGAGGAAACTGAGTATCACCATTAGTTGTCAGCATGGAGAAGTAGATGCATCTAACATAACTCTCCAGTTTCTGCTTTGGCCTGTTAGATAGACAGTGGCCAAGGACTGAAAGGAAACACAGAGGAGAGAGAGAGGGAGGGAGGGAGGGAAGGAAAGGGGTAATGGGAGGGAAGGAAGGTGAGAAGGACAGAGAGAGACACACACCAGTGTGGGTCCTACCAAAGAAATGACCAGTGTGGGATGGCGCCCACATGGAGCACAGTTGGCATTATCTGTTCTTTGCTCAGGGATGTGTGCTGGGCTGGAGGTCTGGGTTTGGGGACAAGGGTATGGGTATACCTGAGGAGCAGTAAAAGAGATAGTTAAAAAATAGCCAAAGGAAAAGAAAGAAAGGGGGGAATGGGGACCAGAAATAAAGAAAAGATAGGGGAAGTGGAATTTCAAACAGCAAATGCCATGGAGCAATTAAGACAAAAAGAGAATCCATAAGATTGGACAATTACGAGGTCACTGGTGACCTGAAGAGAAAGAGATATTTAAGTGTTTGGGGTTTGAAATTCCTTTGCAGATGACTGAGTTCCAGTAGACGAAATGATATCAGCTCCTACTGGACAGCACCCTGAGGTCAGGAGTCAACACGAGGAACAAGACTGATGACCAGAGTCAGCATCTCGGTGACCCCAGATGAGGATTTCACGTTTCCTGCAGAGGCACCAGGTATGTCCACGTACCTTTGGAGGACGATCCGAAGACTTGGACACTCTGAAGAGAGGACTGGGAGTAAAACTGGTGGTCACAAGGAACTGCGGCTTGATCTCTAACTTTTAGTATTCTTTATAAGGAGAATTTATTCAAGTCTATACTTATATAATTGATTAAAATTAATTTTAAAATAAAATCTCCTACAAAGAAGGAGATAATATATCCACCAGTCTCAGAACTGACTGTGTGCAAGTGTGCTATGAAGTATTCTCAGCCAGGCCACAGGCCTTTTTTCTTAGTATAAAGTGGACCCTTATTATAGCTAACTGTCTGGTTTTTAACTCTAACATTTTAAGGATTACCTCTTCAGTCTCCTTCTAGCTAAATTTTCCTAACTAGAATTATTTTCATATAAAAATATTTTATAACAAACTAAAACTTCAAATATTTGAATGTATCTGAACGATGGCTAAATTATTTAGGTAATATTGGCCACCCAATATGACATTTTCTCAGACAGGACTAAGTTCCCTGAAGTAAGAGTGGCATCGTAAGACTAAAACAAGTAGATAACTGGGAATAAAGAGCATTTAGGGACCGAGCATTAGTTAGTCTCTTAACTCTTTTTTAGACATCTGACACAGAGTAACTTTCTCTTTATTATTAAAAACTATAACTAGATCTACACATAGATAGATATACAAATTTATTGTTCAGATATAAGAACAACAGTATTCAACCAAAAGTCAATTAGTGCCACTCTCTCTGCAATATACCTGAATGTAAGTATATCATATACAAATTTTTTGCTGAAAAATTTTCAGGAAGAGTTTAAAATTATTTTTACATCAAAGTCATAGTTAGGAATATTTTGCACTTGTCATCTCTAAGCATCATTCACTTTTGTTTTACACTGAGAACTGGAGAGAAGCAGCCCAGGGTAAAGATTAATAGCATATTTATGAAACCCTAAATCACGACCTCTCCAAGACAAAGCAGTTTTTAAACAGGTTCCCTTCATTAAGGAATGAAGGAGTAATCCATTTTATCTCCTACAAGATGAGGGACTAAATGGGACCCAGATGATAAATACATGGAAATACTAAAAAATAAATTCAAGGTGATTCAAAGGAGTAAGTGTTCTTGTTTTAATATCCTAAGTATATTTTCTTTTAAAAATCGGCATTTGGGCCTTGTACAGCTTACAAGTTACAGAAAGAGCTTCCATTTAACAGAATAACTATAAAGATTATTTTGAGAAAAATCTTCCCTGTTAAAGGAAACTGCACACGGGAGGGATATCTGAAGGGGAATGCAAAATGAAGTCCATCTCTCAGTAGTTTCTTGATTAGGCATAATTGGAGCATATCAGCAATCCTCCAAAATCTGTTCTTACAGAATTAATTGCTGCTTTTAAAATATTTTATTGCAGAAAAGTGTGGGCATCTACAGGGAGTTCTCTAGGCTTGGTGCTGTGCTATTTTCACCATGTTCACCAGCCACTTCCTCTAGTCAGCGTCAAAGCAAACAGTGAACTGTTCACTGCACATCAAGTCCTCCAAAATGTTGGATTCTTCAGAACTATAAAGTCTAAACAGGCAGCAAAGCAATGTTCTGGAAATCATATGCACTGACATGGCATTATTTTTAAAGGGCTTTAAAGAGTTTGAATAAGAAATGTTAAGCTTAGATTTTTTGTGTTTCCTATAGACAATAAAACCATCATTTATATTAATTACTTTTAGCTTAAAATACATGGTCAAAATCGTCCTCACAACTTAATTCTTCGTTGTCCAGTGATATGCTTATGAAATCTACTCTGTGGCAATTTTTCAATTAGTACAAATTCTTGCATAATCAAATATAAGAAACTGATCAAAGGAATTCTTTAATGAATGCGTCCTATCACACCAGGCACTGAAGTCTAAAGCTAGAGTTTAATGACACCTCCGTTGCACCAACAACACCAGCTAGCAAATTAAAATATGCAAATTAAAAAACCAAAAACCAAAAAACTCATGTAACACTTTCATTTTTGAAGCAAAAATATCATCAAATTCTTTTACACAGGATTTAATGTATTTTCAATTTACAATTAAAGTAAAACTATCACTGATAAACTGTTGAAACAAGAGAAGAGCTGCTCATATACAGGTAATGTTGGATTTTCCCTGCTATTTCAATTCTCATTTCACTGTAAGTGATGGGTGCTGCTGGTGGAATTCCCAGGGGCAGATGAGAGCACCCTAAGAGTCAGGCTTTCCTTTGGAGAGGCAATGAGAAAGAGTGAAAACTTTCATAGCTTGGAATGTGGTTGTGAAACACATCCTCTATTCTAGGCTTATGAGCTTTTCAGCTGGTAAATCAAAACCCTGTTATACACCAGGATAACATTCATGACAATTCTCCACATTTTATCTTCTTAAAAATCAAAGGCTCGGTCCTAAAGGGTTAATAGAGGAATTACAAAGTAACTCTCTAGTTTGCATTTCCCATAATACTAAAATAAAGCTGCTTCTTTTAGTCCAGAAATTTGCTTTTTTAATACTGTGAAAAGCCTCCATGAATCTGTTTAACGTATTTACTTCTTTTCATCTATTCAGTGCCACTGGGCATAACCTGTAATGCAGTGCGTGTTGATATTTTGCAAAGCGCCACATGACTCACTGTACCCTAATGCGCTCCATTAATCCTGTTTGGACAGCTGGGTCCGGGCGTTTGTTAGCTGCACTCTAATTGTCCCATCTTTCTTTTTCTTCTTTTTAGTTATCTCTATGGCAAACTACTCAGGAATTTAATTTGTTGATCTTCAAAAAGCAAATTTTGCCATTAATTTGTTTTCTTTGTATTACAAGTATACCTACCATGCAATTTTCTTCCATAAATTCAGTATATACTATTATTAACAATTAATCTTAAGTAACAGATCACAGTAAGTAAGTTTTTTAAATGACTAAACGGTAGGGTGGCTATAATATCATAGGAATTACTGTTGGACTGTGACAATACAAACGATATCACTTAGTTACAAATGAAGTTACTGTCGTGCATACTTTTGGCATTTTCAAGATTAGCACCCCATAAGCAGATGTCAAAACAATAACAAGTCCTGTAAAGCAAACACAAAAGAGGTGAGACTACTGAGTAAATAAGCTGTGTATTCGTCTACGGAACAGCGGTCCCTTCCCATTGAATACTTAGATTTCACTTCTTGCTAAAACATGAAATTCTCAGTAAGGGTTGCACAGTTAACCATAAAGCCTCTATTTCCCTCTCGCATCCTGCCTCCCTGCTGCCCAGGAGTCTTGAATCAACAAGGGAGGCAATAGAAGAGGTAAACAAAAGCAACTCAAAGCGACTAGTAATTTTTGTTATGAGCAAGTTGGCGCGGTTGAATGATGGGATTCTTCTAATCATTTGTGAACACTCTTAAGTGGAAACCTAAGTCCAGAAAACCAAACAGAACTGCCTAACGGAGACTTTTGTCTGAAATAATATTTAGCCAAGAAGCGAGATCACAGACTGCAACATGCTTTATAAAAGAGCAAAAGGCCAAGTGAAGATTTGCTCAACTATTTTAATGACAACGTAGAAATGTGTTACTTTTAAAAGATCCTTCCTATAAAAAATTAAGAAAACTATATAAATGACAAGCAAGAAAAAAATTAAAAAACTAAAGGATGCCCTTGAGATCAGCTCATGCTCTCAAAGATCTCCCTGTTTTCAAGTCTATTTCATGGACATGAAGCAGCTTAAAGCAAGTTTTACACATTTTCAATTTTTTAAACCACATACTAAAAGTTTTTAAAAAACATTTCATATAAGAAAAATTAGTTTAATACTTCCTAGACGTTAAACAGTGTGTTTTTTTTTTTAAATATCACAGTTTTCTCACTGGAGAACTCAAAAAGCTTAACTACTCAGTAGAAAAAACTGCCCACTGTTTGAAGAAGGAACATTTTTAAGTATTTAAAAAAATAAATGGTCTTTATTTGATAAAAGTACTTGTTTTGGTATGGTTCTTACATAACCTAAGTACAGAAGTAAACTTATAAAATAATGTGAAAGGAAATATTATATTTCAAAGGATGGTCTTTTTGAAAAAGTGCAGAAACTACAAGTTAAGGCAGAAGTTTAAGAAAGATACAATTAACAAGGTATGGACTTCAAATGGACATTTCTCCCGGAAACCTACCCAGTGTTCTTGACATCACAGGCAGTGCAGAGCTCAAGACCAAGATGGACACACAATTCCCAATGATCTATGTGGGGATCACAAAGAATATTGGGCAGTCAGACAGCAGAATGACGAATGCAGTCAATCCACTCACATTCTGGGAACTCACTGCACATCCTACTCACCTTGCACTGTTGCACTGTACTCTGCTAACATCTTAATGATATCACTCAATATAGAACTTAAAGAGAGTAAGAAATGTTTTCTACAAATATTTAAAGTTACATCTGTAAAGTTCTAAAGATAGGGACAGTAGTTGGCACGACTATCAAGTTAAAGGACACTGAAATCACATCTCAGACAACGCATCTTACATTACTGGTTGCGGTTGCCAATTTTAAAAAGGTTTGCCTGTCAAGTAAAATAGAATGAATACATTTAATACTTCTGACTATGTTTTTAAAGCCAGACTACTGCTCAAGATATATAATATCTACTTCTAACACATTCAACTATTATAAATTTTAATACCAAAATGCTAGAAATCTAAAACCCCTAAATTTTAATAATTCATTCCCAATGTGTCCGACGTTTATTCTTTCCTATTAAATAAAAGGAGCTGAAATACTGATTAATGCTGACGATCACTGACACTAGACGCTAAGTATCTCAACAAGTCAGAACATTCTATAGATATGTAAATAAAGCACATAAAATAACTTTTCCTTTTTAAGATAGGCTGAAAATATGTGATCTATAATAAAAAGAAAAGAAACCAGCAGCTCTTATTACTTATTCTTCATGGTCAGGCTGTGGGAATATTTTAAAAAGATGTAGTCACTATATAAGGTAACAGTCTTTGTCATTCCAAAGCCAATGACACATTGTAGGAAGTCAAATTAGCCTCAGACTACAAAATGTTTCTGAATAGAACTCTTCCGTCTTGCTTTAATTATTCAAATTTGAAATACTTTGTCTCTACTACTTGTAGCAACTAAGTTCTTCAGATTTCAAACAAGCTCCCTGAAGTACAGTTTGCACAATCAAAGTTACTCATTAGCAATACGTTTTCTTTAGAGGAGAAAGAGCCCTTTCAGTAGCCTTCTGTAGCTGGTTAACAAGCTCTGCAGTTCTATGCATTTCCAAGTGAATGGATGCCGTCCAAATTAAACAGAGCAGCACATCCTTTTCCCACTCATTCAGCATTTTCAAAATCTTTCAGTTTGTGTTTATGCAATTTACAAACAAATACCTATCGCAGCAAATGAACCATTCAGGGCGATTACAAAAATAAAACAGTTCATTTGCCTTGGAATGCAAAAGGGAGGCACAGGCATCTAAGACTTTGCCTTACCTTTGTCATAGTTGTGTCATCCTTCTTGGGAATAAAATTTCCAAAAAATCGCAGGCTATAGAAACCGACAACAGAGGATACCATAAGATAGCTGTGAGAATCAAGGAAAAAACTCTCCAAAGAATGCAAGTTTCCTTAAGTTCTCAGTAGTCTCCAGAAACTCTTGAGGTCCAAAGGAAAAACAAAACAAAAAGCCACTTGGCGTGCTTGAGGAAGACTGACTTGTTTTTCCCTTCTAGGCAAGTGTCTTAGTAAATTACCACTGTCCCAGAAACTAAACAGAAAATTTGTTAAACAATGTTTAGTTAAAGAAAGGATACAAAATCAAAATGATTTCAAGTGCAGCTCCCACAAAACCAAAAGCAGAAAGAGAAGCATTTCCTATTCCAGGACCCTGGGGGGGAAAAAAAACCACTTTTCAGAATTCAATGACACTATACATTTGCTTTCCCTAAAACTATTTCTTAAATACAGGAATTAGGACTGTTTAATACCCTAAAATAGCATCTAGATTTTCTAAGAATAAAACATGACACTAGACTACATTCGTCAACTAATGCAAGCATGTGTTAATAATTTCAACAAGTTCAAAACATCTCTGATTTCTCTAAAATGTAATTCACTCATAAAAATGATATTATGCTTATTGTTAAGAGCCCTGAATATTATTGGAAGAAATTTCTTTAAAACAGTACCACAGGAATAGAAGATGTAGTTATTTAAATAAACCTTATGACAACATATAAAAATTATACAATTAAAATATCTCAAAGTAGGCTAAGCATCCAAAGACTGAATGTGCACATCCTATTTCTACAGTTGAAAATTTTGTTTCCCCAAATCTTCCTTGGAATTCAGACATTTTTAAAAGATATAACTTAGTTAACACAAATTTTTTTAATGTAACACTACACAGTTTTCCAAAACATTATACCTATTGTGGAAACCTATCTTTATCTAGAACTTAAAAAAACAAGCAGAAAAACTAGTATTTATTAATGAGACCAAACAGGCAAAAAAATAATTTCTTATTAAAGTAGGAAGAATTTATTTTCACAGCTTACCAATTAAAGGAAGTATTCAAATATGAACTACTGTTCTACTATCAGCTCTAATTGTAGCAAACAAAAATACCAGGAAAATTAAGAATGTATAGCCAGGTTAATAAAAAATAAACCAATAATTAACATCATACATATCATATACACATTCTAATTTTGGCCTAAAGAAGTAAGAATACTCATGGAAATTTCATATATATATATATATATATATATATATATATATATATACATACAAATCAAAGACCTATCAACTTTTTGTTAATCTTTTGACAAAGAAATGAATAATGCTAATGGCTTACTGGCTGGGTGAAAAACATTTTGGATATATTCCCTGTCTCAAGAGAAGTCCTCCAGGCAGGATTAGGATGATCTGATTTATTTACAGAATCATGCATGGGCCCTACAAGGTATAACTCCCCCTGTGTGATACACTAAGGGGATGGTACAAAAATGTACCATGGCGGCATGGGACTTACGCAACGTGCAATGTATAACAGAGGGTCACAAAGTGAACAGAAGCCAACACAGTAGATAACTTCCTGCTCTATCAATTAATTTGGGTCTAAACAAAAGATAAAGACCAGGTTGCAGATGAAGTACCCTTCAGTGTTGTTTGCTTGTGGAATGAGGCACCTGGAAAGCTTGGTGGCAGGCTAGACAGTGGGCAGTAACAGAAGGCATAAGGTCCAGCAAAAGTTAGAGGAGGGCAGGATCTAACTGGAGAATATGCCTGAAATTGAAAGAGGAGGGCATCTCCATCGTGGACTGAAGGGAAGAAATTTAGGTTGATGTTGGCTTGTTTCTATGAGAGGAAAGGGATACATCCTCTGGTTCAGAGAGAGAAGTGACACTAAAAGTCTGGAACAGTTTTGAAGTCCTTTCTATGGGGAATAAGAAAGCTACTGACTTAGAAAAATATATGAAAACATTAGAATGTAAATGCTACTTTAAGTAATCAAAAGTCTACAGAGTCTTAGAAGTGTGCTAAATATGCATCTTTAGTGATAACTACCTTCTAGATGGAGAATATATTTAAACAGGCTAAAAGACAGAATTTAATAGAATCATCAACTTTTAGACAAGAGAGAAAACAAAGTTAATTCATGAAAAGATATATATCTGACTCTCCTCTAGTAACTAAACATTTGACTCAGTTTCATAAAATGTGTGACCCTCTTGAAACCTAAGTGCCTACCAGCCACATATCAGGATCTTCAGCAAACACTATGACTCCATCCAATAAACTCCTTCCACATCACTATTTCACAGAGTATAAGTTTTCGTAAAGAATTCCAAATATGAACTACAGCAAAATAAAAGTAAACTGTGATACAAAGTCTAAAAGGAAAATGATATCCGATAAAAGGGCTAGCCAACTGAAAGTAAGAAATTAGAAACAAGTCATAGGTCACGAGCACTGTTTACGAAGGCTCTTTACATAAAGAAATTCATACAACCTGAAACATAGGTATAGAAAGGTGATGTTTTAAATTACTTATTTGAAACACTCAGGGTATATATACAGAACACTTGCAAAAGAAAGACATTTAAAGCAGTTTACCCTTGTTCCCTTTGGCATGGCTGTTTCATCAACCAACAGGCAAAGAATATTACAAGCCACCAAGAGGACCGAGATGGACTACAACATAAAAAATGATCATCAGTTCTGAATTTCACAGATATTTTGTGAGTACACATGTATTAAAATCTAAGTTATAGGCCAAATATATGCTTCAGAACAGAGAAGACCAAAATTCTACACACAAACTGGAAGTAATCAAACTATCTGCAAAAACTCTAAAATCTTCTGCAAATTATTACAATTTCAAAGCTTGTGACTAAAGCTAATAATATAGATTCGGTTACTGAATGATTCCACCAACTGGAAACCCACAACTCCACAGATTTAAAAAATGGTTAATAGTTATCAGAACTAATTAAGAATATAATTTTCACATCCCATCAGAATCTGAAGCAAGATATCTACAATACCTCATCTCTTAATTCTAAATGGCACCAAAGAATAAATGTCCTGTTTCCATGAGGAAATAGTTAATCTTGAGGACTTAAAAAAAATGCCATTAATTTCCTTTTTTGCTTTATTGAGTTTTTCCAAATACAAGTATGGATGGATTTTAACCCTGTTGACAGAAAGCCAGTTTACTTGAAACCATTTAGCTGAGGGAGTTACCATATTCAAATACCAAAGTAAATAAAAAATAATTTGCTTTATTTAACTAGGCAAATAAATTCTTACTGTCTCAATTAGAAGGAGAAGCATAACAGCAGGATACACCAAATTTCTTTCCCATGCTGAAGCTTTTTTTCGCCTCTCTATTAGGAAAAAAAAAACAAAATACAACAAAGATTTCCAAAAATTCTCTTCAGAACCACGCTTTCATTCCTTACTGTTATAATTAGTATGAATTATTTTTATATAATTTCTTTTTCACAAACACAAATTATTTTTTATCTTCCTCCATAAACTATAAAAATCAGAGTTTTAAAATCACTTTGCTACATTGAATAGTTCAATCCTATAATGCTTACATTTTAGCTCTGTAAAGACATTTCAGTTCCTAACAAAATGTACTGTTAATACACAGCTTGCTATGAAAATATAGAAATGTTTGTATTTGATGTAGATTTACATATTGATATAGATTTGAGTGAATAAATTAACATGAGTAAAAATCCCCTCTAATCCAAAGATAAAAACCTCCAGTTTTCTAAAGGTGGAAGCAAACTTCTGGCTACAGTGATCTACGTGATATCGCACCAATCCTCATGCTATGAACAACTGGTAAGAACAAACTTAACTAAGAAAAAAGTCTGCATGAAGGAATCACAGAATTACCACAACAAAGCTGTGAGGTCAATACTCTGTGAAACGGATTGATGTGAGCCGTCACATTTGCACTATCTTTCCCTCAACAATTTTCCAACGTATAATGACGTGGCCTCATGAAGCTGAGAAATGAAGCAAATAGTGAGTAAAAGAAAATGATGCTAAAGCAATGCTTTCAGCAAACTCAACAGCATCAGGAAAACAAAAATTGGAGTGTGGGGCTACCAAGGAAGCCAAAATTTGAGAGGCTATAATCACAGAGAAAAGGAAAGGAAAAAGAAGGAAGCCGAACTTTCAGCCTCCTGCCCTTCAAGGCACCAGTGGCCAGCAGGCTGAGAGAGTGACAGGAAGGTACAGCAAAGAGAAGGAGCAAAGCTTCGGTCAGGCTCCCGTTTCTTTTTCTTTTTTCTTTTTTTTCTTTTTTTTGAAAGATTTTATTTATTTATTTGACAGAGATCACAAGCAGGCAAAGAGGCAGGCGAAGAGAGAGGAAGGGAAGCAGGCTCCCTGCTGAGCAGAGAGCCCAGGACCTTGGGATCATGACCTGAGCCAAAGGCAGAGGCCTTAACCCACTGAGCCACCCAGGCGCCCCCAGGCTCACGTTTCTTGAGATAAAAACTAATGTTCAGGGTTCATGAATAAGATGGTATCACAGCCAACAACAAAACACCCAAGCTCTCACTTAGAAACGCTATACACTAGGAGCAAGGCCAAACTGCAAATCGACTGGCCCTCGTGAAGACCAAAACCCACTCTGGAACAATCACCAGCCCAGACAGGTGAAAGGATCTGTCCCTACTCTAACTGCTGAGCAGAAGGAAAAGTAAACCCTCTCAAGAAGAAAACATTATCCAGAGTTTCTATTTTGTATAAGAAATGCCTGACAATCAAACGTTCCCTGGAGACAAGACAAAGAAAAAAGATAATACAGACTTTCAGTTTATCCAAATATTGAACTTACCAGAAAGAAGCCTTAAAATAACTGATTAATATGTTCAATAAGATAAGTGACAAGATGGCAAATGTCATAATTTGAATCGAGGAAAATAACTGAATGAAAATTCTAGAACCGAAAAATACTGTAACTAAAATTAAGACTTCAGGAGATAATTTAGCAATAGTTATGACACAGCTGAAAAGACCGTGAAATGGAAGACACATCAATAGAAAAAATTACAGATCAAAGAATGTGGTAAAGGAGGGGAAACTCAGAAAATAATACAGGAGTGAAAAGGTCTAGCGCATATGCAGCTAGGGTTGAAGGAACTTAAAGAAAGGAACAGCAGAAGCAGTATTTGATGAAACAATGGCCAACAAGTCCCCAAATGGATAAAAGACATTAGGCTACACGCTGATGAAGTAGCACAGATCTCAGAAGAATAAACACAAAGAAAACCAAACCTGAGCACATCAGGCTAGAACTACTAAACAAAGACAAAAAGAAAATCCTAAAGCTTTCAAAAGGGCAACAATACAACTTTTTTAACCAGAAACCAGAAGACACTAACAAGACATCTTTTCAATGTTGAAAACTATCAAATAAGAATTCTAAATTCTGTAAAAATGTCCTACTGATGAGAAGGCAAGTAAAAATGTTTTCAGGAAACAAAAACTGAGAAAATTCATAGCCAACAAACTAGCACTAATGAAATGCTAACAGATGTTCTTCAGGGAGAAGCTAAATGAACACTGAAAACACAAATCAGGGACATATAAATTAAAACACCAGTGAAAACGACTTCACAACCACTAAATTGGTAAAAATGTAGAGTCCAACACTGTCAACTGTTGACAAAGATGTGGAGCAACATATCTTACTCATGCTTAAAACAAATGCAAAATAATACCACTACCTGGGAAAACGATTCGGCATTATTTTAAAAAAAGTTGTATGTCCACATACTCAATGAGCCTATAATTCCACTTCCAGGTACATATCCTAAAAAAACATATGTACCAGAGATATGGAGAACAATGTTTATACCAATATTATTCATAACAAAAGATAAACACATCAAATATCCATCAACCGTAGAATGAATAAAGTAACTTTAGGCAATATGATGTTGTTTACAAAAATGAAAATGAGAGCAACCTATAGAATGGGAGAAGGTATTTGCAAATGATATATCCACTAAAGAGTTAATATCCAAAATATACAAGAATTTATACAACCTAGCACAAAATTAAAAAATGAAAAGAGGACTTGAATAGACATTTTTCCAAAGAAGACATCCAGATGTCCAATAAACACATAAAAAGATGCTCAACATCATTCATCATCAAGAAAATGCAAATAAAACCACAATAAGATATCACCTTATACCTGTCAGAATAACCAAAATCAAATAACACAAGAAATAACAAGTGTTGGCAAAGATGTAGAGAAAAAGGAACCCTCGTGCACTGTTGGTGGGAATACAACCTGGGGAAGCCACCATGGAAAACACTATGGAGGTTCCTCAAAAAATTAAAAATAGAATTACCAAACAATCCAGTACTTCCAATACTGGGTACCCAAAGAAAACAAACAAGAAAAACAATTTTTATTGTCTTTTGCAGCCAAGACATGGAAACAACCCAAGTGTTCATCCATAGATGAATGGATAAAGACATGATACATATACATTCACACATACACACACACACAGGAATATTACTCAGCCACAAAAAAAAGAATGAAATCTTGCCATGTGCAACAACATGGATAGAGCTAGTGTGTACTACACTAAGTAAAGTATGTTAGTCAGAGAAAGACAAATTCCATATAATTTCACTCAGATGTGGAATTTAAAAAGCAAAACAAAGTAAAAAAGGAAGGAAGGAAGGAAGGAAAGAAGGAAGGAAGGAAGGAAGAAAGACCAAAAAACAGACCCTTAAATACGGAGAACAAACTAGAGACTGGCAGAGGGGAAGTGGGTGGAGGATGGGTTAAATATCACTATGAGCACTGAGTAATATACGAATTACTGAATCACTATATTGTATACCTGAAACTAACATAACAGCACATGGTAATGACACTTCAATGAAAAAAGAAAAATGAAAATGAATAAATTTTCAACAACAAAACAATTTCTGAAGACAAAGTAATCACAGGGACCAATTTTCTATCCAGGCTGAAGCAAACAGGAAACAAAAAACACATGCATATGAAACAGTTTCGACCCTGGATATGCAGTCACAGAAGGCAATGATCTCTGAGAGGTGGGAAGCAAACAAGACAAGCCGTGGGTTTGCCCCTGCTTACTGTCTCTCGACAGTTTACTGGCCACAGTCGTGGGCACAGGAACCTAAGCAAAGCCCTACTTATTCGTTGAGTTGAAGACATAAAACAGGAGTGTAGAGAAACCTAGTTAGCCGGACTGTACAGAGCAAAGTACCACCGACAAAAGTCCCCAGACTCCCCCGGATCTTCAGAGAGTTATCTTTGAGTCTTCAGTTGGGTAAAGATCAGCTCAGGTACATGAACAAACAACCCTCAGCTGAAGAAAGAACCACCCAAAAAGGTTAGATGGAGAGGCAGTAACCAACCATTATAAAGGGCCAAGAATAGGGCCTGTTCCCCCAAGACAGGAACGAGACCTCATCAATCATGAGCACAGTTGCCTTAGTGTGGAATGACTGACCCTAGAGGAAATGCTGCTCTAGCCGTGCCTGACAAGCCTTCAGAGCAAAACCCAAGAATATCAAACTGCTTCCAAGTAACTTAACTGCATCCCAGAATAAAGTTCCACACTTATGGGAATACAAAAATATCAGCAACCAGCAATAAGATTCTCAGTGTCCACTATCCAATCAAAAATTGCCATGCATAAAACCACAAAAATACACCCAATGATGAGAAGAAAAGTCAATCAATCAAAATCTATCAAGAACTAACACAGAAGTTAGAAATAGCAGATAAAAACACTGTAAGTGCTACTATATAATGTATGCCATATTCTTTAAAAAGTGGAGGACACAGACTAAGTTCTAAACAGAACTTCTACATATAAAAACTACAGTATCTAAGAATGCCTGGGTTCAGTCGGTTGAGCGTCTAATTCAATCTCAGCTCAGGTCTTGATCTCAGGATCGTGTACTCAGGCCCTGCACTGGGCTCCACACTGGGCATGGAACCTATTTAAAAACAATTTTTTAAAAATGCAGTATTTGAGAATACAATAGATAGGATTAAATGCAGATTAGATACGCAAAAGAAAAGAGTAGTGAACATGAACATATAGTAATAGGAACTATCCAAAATGAAACACACAGAAAAAAAATCTGAAAAATAAAGGAAAATCCATGAGTTTGGGGGGCAGCTTCGGGGGAGGAGCAGTGTACATGCAGCTGGAGTCCCTGAAACAGGGGCACAGAGAAGAAAAGAAAAAAACATTTGGAAAAACAGTGGTCAAAAATGTTCCAAATTAGATGAAAACTATAAATTCCCAGATCCAAGAGACTCCATGAACCCAATGCGTCAGAAGCATAAAGGAAACTACTCTAAAGCACACGTGAATCAAACTGTTCAAAGTCAATGACAAAGAGGACATCTTAAAAGCAGAGAGAGAAAAAAGATTCAAAGGATGAGGATGACAGAAGATTATTTGTCAGAAATAATGCAAGTGAAGAGACAGCAGACTGACATCTCTATACATCAGCATCCGAAAAGTCATTTTATGCTTGTATGAAACAAACAAAAAAAAAAAATGGGAATTTATCCTCTCCCCAAACTAAGAAACAGTCTGTATCAATAGCTTTGGACAGATTGGAAGCTTATAAAATACACTAAAGATTTCATAATTTTTTTGAATATTTCAGACTACAGGAAAGTCTTTGGAAAGAATCCAAGACCAGTACATGAGTCAAGAACAAAAATGTACAGTACCTAATTTTGTCTTAAGAGTCTTCACATTTTCAAGTTCTTGTTCCAACTCCATTATATTGTATTCCACTGATGAAGACAGTCCTGTCAAAAGCAAATACATTTTAGAAGTGCAACAACAGAACCTTAACGGCATAGAATGGGTAGCCCTCAAATTAAAATATAGGATAACATACTACAAACACTGATCACAGAGAATAAAAACAAATGCTGTTGTGATCCACTGGAAAATATATCCATTTCTTCATCACTTAAGACTTCAAGTTCTTACTGATTAAATACTACCTGTTTCCTAGAAAATGCCTGACTTTGATCAACTTTTACTTGATCCTTAATTTTTCAATAATGACAAAAGTATCATACGACTATAGAAAGTGGAAGAAATTCACGATCTCATTCTCTAACCCACCTCCCTAAAGGGACAACTGGTAACAGTCTGGTTGATGTTTCCACACCTTTCTTCATGATCATATAACTATTCATATATATATACATATCATACACATGGTTTCTATTATATACCTTATACGAGTAGATTAAAGCAGACATGTTATTTTACCACTTGCTTTCCTAATCAATGATACATCCATGTTTACAGATAGTGCCAACACCTTTAACAAATGAGTAACATTCTATAGTATGGATGCATTTCAATTTTATTCAGTTATTCCACTTATGACTAGTCAGGTTTTCCTCTGTTTTTTGCAAGTACACAAAATGTTGAGCAAAAATTTCTGTATGCATATCCAGCATATTCTAATTCTATTGTTTCTACAGGAGAGAGTCCCAAAATTTCAATTGCGGAGTCAAAGGATATACGCATGTACAGGTAAGAGATATTTAAAGGTTACTTCCTTCCAAATATTGTAATTTACTGTAATGGTTTAAATAATGTAATAATTTTTAAAAATAAGGACACCTAGATGGCTCAGTCAGTTAAGCATTGGACTCGATTCCGGCTCAGGTCATGATTTCAGGATCGTGAGATCAAGCCCCACAATAAGCTCTGCAACTGGGCATGGAGCCTGATTAAATTCTCTCCCCCTCTCTCCCTCTGCCCTTACTTCCATGCTCACACATGTGTGCACACACACACACACACACATACTCTCTCTCTCTCAAAAATATGAAAAAAAATTATTATAATAATTTACATTTCCATTTATAACTTTTGAAAGTACCTATTTTCTTCCTGTATCTACCCTAGCACTGGATGTTGTAATTCTTGAGTTTTGGCCAGTATGATGAATAAAAAATGTTTTCTTATTGTTACTTTAACATGCATTTCCCTAAATGTGGTTGAGCATCTTTTCAGATGTTTATTTATCACCATCTGTGGGACTTTCCTCCTGGGCTACACAGACTCCCCAGACAAGACTCTTCTGATCTCCTTGGGATATTAAGCTGTCCGAGTGAAGGGAGAGGGGAGCCTGTGAGCACTCACCCCATCCTCTATTTCACACTGTGTCCAGGCCACAGCCTCTGTTTCACTCTCTGGAGAACAACCCTCCCTCTTCTCTTGGCAGGAAAGAGGCACTGCCTGGTACCTTGGATGAAGGGAAAAACGTGGAGATCAAATCGCTTCATCAACAGGATCTTCAAGTAACCTCCTTACTTGAAACTCACTCCACTTCCATATCTGCTGGTGCCCCTTCTTGCAACTCTGGGGGATTCCAGGATATAAATCAAGCACAGACGGCTTAGGATTTAGCTTCCGTGGGTCTGGCTAAACTGGTTACTTCGAAGGTTTTCTCAGGTCTGCTAAATTCCAAAATTTTATTGGGATTTTCTCAAGTTCTCATTCTCTGACCCCAGTGTTCTCCCATGTGAAATGAGATGTATTTATTAGAATGTTTTCCACTGAACCAAAAACCTCAATTCAAAGAAGCTTTAAAAAAAAAAAGAAAATAATTTCATGAAATTAGGAGTTTAGACACAGAGTGGGCTTCAAAGTAGGTTTTTTCCCCACAGCTCAACAGTGACATCCAGGGACTGAGTGCTGCCATCTATAAGTTGGCTTTTTATGAAGACTGGTGGCTCTTTCTCCTTTCATGTAATTTCATAATATCTGTTTATTTTGCTCTTTATTTCTTCTTTTCCCAGCTAGTAGAACTTCTATTTATTCTTTTCCCCCATGTTAATTTGGTCCTTTGGTGGTTACTTTCTCACTGTTAACACACATAGACTTGTACTTTTTTTTCAATATAATATAGTTATAATCCCATAGTGATGCTTTACTAAATAACTCCTGCACCAAGGTGACACTTTCATACTTTTATCTGTTCTTTCACTGCTTCCCACCCACTCCTCCTATATCCTGGATTTTGCTCAGATTTATTTAAAAATATTTAGTATACTAGGGTGCCTGGTGGCTCAGTCGGTTAAGTGTCTGACTCTTGATTTTGGCTCAGGTCATGATCTAGGATCATGAACTCAAACCCTGAGACAGGCTCCATGCTGGGCATAGAGTCTGCTTAAGACTCTCCCTTTCAAAAAAAAAAAAAAAAAAGACTCTCCATTTCCCTCTACCCCTCCCCTGGCCCCTCTAATTAATTAATTAATTAATTAATTTTTCGGTATAAGATTATTAAATTTTTCTTTCAGTATAAAAGTTGCCATATCCTTAATGTCTAGAATAGTATCTAGCACAAACCAGATACTCAACATACAGATATGAAATGAAGGAATAAACAAATGTCTTTTTTGGTCCTAATATACATATGACATATTTATAAATATATAAGTTTTTCAATGGAATCTTCCTCCCCAACCCTTAAAACTAACAATATTATTCAATAATCCTTAGCAGGTTACAAATGGAAAGATTGATGTTGATTTCTCACTCCTTTATAAGTGATTTTTCTATAAGAAAGCTTGTAAGGTGTTTTATTATCACTATTCTTAGAATTTAACAATGTTACACAATAAATCTAGATCTTTTAAATATCCTGTTTAATAACCTTGTCTAGGACTCTGGTCTTTTAACCTACACTAAAATCTTTCTTCAGCTTGACATTTTCTTCTATTATCTACTTACTTAATTTTTTTCTACTTGTTCTTTTTCCTCCTTTTAGATGCTTACTAGTTAGATTAAGTAGCTTAGCTCTACAGTCTGTGTGTCATTTCACTGGTGTTTCCCTCTCTTTGTACTTTTGGTTTGTGACATGCAACATGCCTCCCACTAGATTCTACCAGATAATTCATTCAATTTTCAGAAAGACTGTCCTCATTCCCCATTGCTGCTGTAACAAAGTACATTAACTCAATGGCTTAAACACTACAAATTTATTATCTTAGAGTTCTAGAGTCAGAAGTCTGAAATCTGGGTGTCAGCAGTGTTCCTTCTGGATACTCTAGGAGAGAATCTGCTCCCTTGTCTTTTCCAGCTTCTAGAGGCACCTGCACTCCTTGGCTCATGGTCCCTTCTTCAGGTCACTCTACATTTACTTCCACTGTCACATCTTCTCGAACCCTCACTTATAACAATGCCATGAGGACACTGGGCCCAGGAGATCATCTGGAATAATCTTGAGCTCTTCACCTAATTACCTTACAAAGTCCCTTTGGCTATGTAGGGAATATGTTTACAGGATCAGGGTGGTTAGGACTTGGCTACTTCTGCAGGGTCACTATACTGCCTATCATAAGGACTACTTCATCTTTTGTCTACTGAATTTTTAATTTTTTTTTTCATATTCTAGGTGGCCTTTTTTGGTTGTTGTTCTAATTATATCTCCTTAAAAGTCCATATTACTTTTGGGGACTAAGTACAAATTCTTATTTGTCTCTACATTAACTTTCAATTTCAGTGGGACTCGTTGTAGATATTCATCTTAACCTTCTTCACTTGGTCTTAAGTGAGTGATCATTTTTCTTTATGCACTGCTACTGCTGTTCCCTTCCCACTGAATCAAGTCAGACAGTCCTTCAAACAATGACAAACCATTCTGAGGGCCCAGCAATTTCCGTTTTGGGGGCCTAGGGATAAACTGGCCAGAAACAACAATGCAGGAAGAAGTGTCAGTGCTCTGGGGTTTCTCTCTGCAGCAATTCTCCTTTCTCAAAGGGAGAAAGAAAACAGAGGATTCAGGCCCAAAGTGCACGACGGCACAGGTGCTAATGCATTAGGGGAATTCAGAGGCTCTTTTTCTAAGCCCTCTTAGAGAATCACAAAACTCTAGTCTTATGCTGCATTTCTAGGAAAGGTAAGTACTATATGCTCTCTGAATCTCCTTCCTCACTTGTGTCCGTCACTGAAGGGAGAGAAATTCAATGCCTTCTTTGGGGGGCCTGAGGTCTTGAATGCACTGAACTGTTCTATAGTATTTCCAGAGCTTCTGAGTTTAATCATTTTACTAGTCAAAATATAATTGACATTTATAGGAGAATAGGGTTGAAGACAGAGATATTCAGGAAGTGCAGCCCAAAACTGCTAAACTTTGACTATGAATGCAGTTTATAGAGTTTCTGGTAACCAAAGCCAAAGGGAGACAATTCAATCATAGAATCAATGAATGTCTCCATATAAGAACAAGACTTACAGTAAGATGGCATAGTCTTATAAGGTTTGCAAGTGTCTTTGAATCAAAGCTTAGACTACAAAACAGTCTTATAGATACCTTTTGCTTTTTGGCCCATTTCTTCATAAATTATACGGTGTGTATCTGTAGTTAATGCTCCTTGAACTTCTCTATCTGATTAATTACAAATACAATTCCAAATGACACTTCATTCCTATATTTATAAAGAAGCATTATTCCGGGGGTGGGGGAGAAAAGGATGGTGGAGGAGTAGGGGATCCCATTTCAACTGAATCTAGCTGGATAGCTACCAGACCACTCTGAACAACCATGAAATCAGCCCGAGATGTAGGAAGATATATCTGGATCCATACAAACAGAGTATCTCCGGCAGTTTGTTTCAAGGTATGAAGGTATGAAGCGGGAGCCATGATTCTGCAGGCAATACTGGAAAATAAATGGAAGGGGGAGGGAGCCTCTGGGATCCTGTGCCTCCTGCACTGGGGACTGGGCACAGACTCACAGACTGGTACGAGAAGGGAAAGGACTTTAGGGCAGCACCCC